CTTTTTCGACCTACGGGGCACTGGCTTGAAAAAAGAGTCAACCAGCTTTGAGCCCACAAGATAGTACCACGTATGCCAAAAAGGGGTAAAAAATTATTAATAAAATAAGTTCAAGAGGTAATAGGACCTTATTATACTATAAGTGTGTCTTTGAGATTTCGAGCATCGGTTGAGGAAGTAGTTGTGCCTTATCCCCTTTGTAAAATGAGCATAGCCATAAATATTTCCCTCCTATAATCTATATGTAATATAAAGATGAATAAAATCACGCTGATATGACATGCTTCATTGATCAATATAGCAATTTATTTGAATTAAAATTTGTTTTCTCTCATTTTCTTTTCAATAACCTTTAAAAACAATTATTCACTTTCCTTATTATTTGCCTTTACTACATTTAACTCTTCCTTCCAAAAGAAAATATGTAACACCTAAATACATAATGGTGTAATTAATGTGCATATCACACATTTTTCCTAGCAACCCACTTATTGTCAGTTTTTTTTTAAATTCTTAATCACATGTAATCAATTAGACAATTCATTTCCCTATTTATTCATACCTTCTTAGACATTTTCCTTGGAGTTTCATGTAAGTATTTTTTTCATATCTTCTTATATCTTTTTGGAGGGTTTCATGTAGTTTTTTTTTCTTTTTCTTTCATCTTCTTCCTTTTATTTTATCCATCCATGGTTTTTATTTTTAATGTATATATTTTAGCATCCTTTTTAACAGAATATTTATTATGAAGCTTTTTATATGAAAAGCAAAAGAGGTAAGCTTATAGTTACATACATGTTACCATACTTTGAAAAGGATATTACCATGAAGCTTTTTTATATAACTTATATACCAATAGTTTTTTTTATTATTATTATATCAATATCAATGTTATTTAATTTTTTAAAAGATTTTATTTTTGTTTTAGGAAGTTAAGTTCTAATTCTATTCAATATGTATCTCACTAAATCTAAATTTGTATAGCATAATATTAAGGTTAAGTGTGTGCGCGCGCGTGTGTGTATATATATATATAACCCACGTATTGTAAAGGAGGTTCTTCATCATGTTAATGTGGCATGCCTCATGATAAGAAAAGTTATTTGTCTTTGTTAGGTAATTAGCATTTTGTATTAATATTAAACATATTAAATTTTTTTATTTTGGAGTTATAAGAATGACCGTTGGTAGGCATCTGTGTCTTAAACTACCAATTTAATCATGCTATTCATCTTTGACTTGGTAGCCATGTAATGACATTATTTTTGGCTTTATTGGCTGAATTCATTGTGAGATAAAAACATTCTAATAAGTACATCATCCATTAGCATTGGTTATCCATCACTTTATTTCATTCTTAATTCCTCCATTACTCTTTGTAACCTATGTAACTCCTATTGTAACCTATGTAACCTATAAAACTCCTAAGGCCATTATCTTCACTATTTAGTACCTCCATTATCTTACTATTCATTGCTAGGAAGACTTCTTGTAGTATAAATAGTGGTGGTCTTCATTTGGTTTGGGACACACAATACACGAGAGATAAAACATAGAGTGAAAGTGTTAGTATAAAAGAGAGTTCTTATTAGTTGAAGGGAGGTGTTCTTTTTTGTGGAGCTTTAGACGCAACTCTTGTCCAGAGTTGTTGACTTATAATTTGTGAAGACTGTTGTATCCTCGAGGGGACAAGTCAGAGAGAATTACTGCTGGACCGGTGAAAAATTTGCTATAGTGGGCTTGAATGTTCTTAAAGAGAGCGAGACATCCACGCCTCAGCCTTGAAGAGATTTATCTTCTTCATTTTTTATTTTCAATTGTAATCTGTATTTTTTGTTATCTAGTAAGTTTTTCACTATCAATTTTAAGGATATTCAAGATGGATACAATTGAAAAAACCGTGGATGTCAAGATGGGAAATCTTAACAAGCCGTTTCGATTCAATTGTAACCATTTCAAGAGATGGTAGGGTAAAGTACTTTTCTAATTAAGTCTTCTCAATGTTTCTTGTGTATTAACCGAGAAGAATCCACATAAAGAAGACATCATCACTATGAATGATGATGAAACTATTTCTCATCTAGAGAAAGTGGAAAAGTACGATGTTGATTCCTATAAGTGTCGGTATTATCTTCTTAGTTGTCTATCTGATAATTTTTATGATTATTATGATAGAACTTACTCTATTGCAAAGAAAATTTGGAAGGTATTGTAGAGTAAGTATGATACTGAAGAGGCTGGGGAGAAAAAATATACAGCTAATAGATTTTTTCGTTTCCAAATGGTGGACAACAAATCAGTGGTAGATCAAGATCAAGACTTCATCATGATTGTTGGAGATCTTAGGTCCGAAGAGGTTAAAATTGGAGATAACCTTATTTTTTGTGCCATAGTGGATAAACTTCCACCTTCTTGGAAGGAATTTCAAAAAACTATGCATCACAAACAAAAGGAACCCTCTTTTGAAACCTTGATAATGAAAATCCGCATGGAAGAAGAAGAAAAGGGCCAAGATGCACTTTTACAAACAGAAGAGAACAACATCACATCGAAGGTAAATTTAATTACTTCGAATAATGCTACTCCTGAAACTCACAAAAATACTTCTTTAAAGCCTAAGAATAAAATATTCAAGAAAAATAATGGTGAAAATCACCAAGCACAAAATCAACAAGTTCAAGAAAAGGGACCAGACTTTGTTTGTGGCAAGAGTGGGCATATTGCTCGATTTTATAGATTCTGAAAATGTGGTTCTAACCCTCAGGCAAACGTTACCAAAGAACATTTTGTGGTGGTGATTACCGACATACACATGGTTGAGAATGTTGATGGATGGTGGGCTGATTCTGGTGCAAACTGTCATGTCTGTTATGACAAAGACTGGTTTAAAAAATATACTCATTTTGAGGAGCCCAAGATCATCATACTTGGTGATGCTCACACTATTCAAGTGCTTGGAAAGGGAGACGTCAAATTGTGTTTTACTTTTGGAAGGGTATTAACTTTAAAAGATGTATTTTTTACTCCTTTCATGAGAAAAAATTTGATGTCCAGTTTACTTCTTAATAAAGCGGGCTTTAAACAGAGTATTGAATTTGATCAATATGTAATAGTGCAGAAAGGTATTTTTGTGGGAAAGGAGTATGCATGTGATGGATGTTTAAGTTGAATGTTAAGATGAATAAAACTTCTACTTCTGTTTATATTCTTTCTTCTACCAATTTTTTACATGCTCATTTGTGTCATATTAATGATCGTTATGTTGGAATCAAAAGTAGTTTAGTGTTAATTCCAATGGTTAAAAAAAAAATTGAAAAGTGTGAGGCTTGTAGTAAATCTAAGATCACTAAAAGGTCTCATTTTCAAGTTGAAAGAAAAACCGATTTATTAGAATTAGTTCATACTGATATTTGTGAACTTGGTGGAATTTTAAATCGTGGAGGTAATAGATATTTTATCACTTTCATTGATGATTTTTTTAAGTTTAAATATGTTTACTTGATGAAAAATAAAAGTGGTGCTTTTGAAAATTTTAAAACTTATCTCCAAGAAGTTCAAAATCAGTTTGGAAGAAAAATAAAAAGAATTAGAAGTGATAGAGGTCGTGAATATGAAAAAATAAGTTTAATTCTTTTGTTAGATCATTAGAAATAATTCATGAAACTACTCCTCCTTACTCTCCTTCATCTAATGGAGTAGCAGAAAGGAAAAACGGAAATTTGATTGAATTGACTAATGCTATGCTTATTGAGTCACATGCACCATTGAATTTTTGGGGTGAAGCTATTTTTAACTGCTTGTCATGTGTTAAATCGTGTGTCTCATAAAAAGTCAAAACTAACACCTTTTGAATTGTGGAAAGGTTACAAGCCAAGTTTGGGATATCTAAGAGTTTGGAGTTGTCTAGCCTTTGTGAGACTAATGAATCCCAAGATTACAAAGTTGGGTAAGAAAGTTATTACTTGTGCTTTTCTTGGTTATACTTCAAATAGTACAACCTATAGATTTTTTAATCTTGAAGATAATATTGTAATAGAATCTGGTGATGCTATTTTTTAGAGTCCGAAACTGAATGGGTATAAAAATTTTACAAAAATTTCAAAACGGTATATAAAATTTTATATTAACCAAAATGGTAAAATCGCTGCCCCTGCAGCGACTTATACTTAACTATTTTATATTATGGACACAGTTTGCATGTGATCCTCTTATATATACATAACATTTTAAAAAAGAATATAAAAAAAATCTTCGTAGCGATTTAATATATAAAAAAAATTATAATATTTTTTAAAATTTATGTATATAACTTATAAGAAAATATACATTATATATATATATTTGCTGCAGTGGGCTTGAATCTCCTTAAAGAGAGTGAGATATCCGCGCCTCAACGTTGAAGAGATTTATTTTCTTCATTTTTTATTTTCAATTGTAATCTTGTATTTTTTGTTATCTAGTAAGTTTTTCACTAACATTCTATTTTCTTAAGATTTATGCATTTTTATCTATTTTTACACAATTGTATTGTTAATAATTATTAATTAATGATCAATTATACCTTGCTACAAATAAATCATTTTGGCATTTTAAAATTGTAGTCATTTCATTCCTCATAATCAATATTTACTTTCCCATAATTAGTGTACGTATAAATGGAAAAAAAATGGTTACAGAATTTCAATTAAAAAAATGCATCCACTTAATTGCAACTCTTTGATGAAAAAGATAATGCAACGTTTCAAAATTTTACTATATAATGAAATATTTCAAAATTCTAACACAATTTCTCTATTTTTCTTTTCGCACTATTTTATTTTTACTTCTATTTTTTCATTTTATATCTATTCCTTAATGCTCTCTCAATTTAGTATTGCGATATCTTAATTTTTTTCTTTATTTTTATTTACCTTAAGCAATGAATTTTAATTGGTATATCTTATGAAGATAATACTCTAATTAGAATGATTTTTACTACTCTTTTATGATTGCAGTTTACTATGGCCTATTATTCAGGTGCAAGAAAGTGGCTCGTCCAAGGTAGGTTCTTTCCTCATTTGCTTCGTGGATTGAAATCACGTATCAACTGAAAATTGTTCTTTTTTTTCCAGAAAAAATACATAAAATTTTTCTTTTATTTCTAGACACATGCCTATTTTCTTCCTGTGTGAACTGCATTCGTGATGGTGATAAACTTATAAAGAAGGTTATTCATACCTACAATTTCATCTTTTGCAAAAATATATATGACAGAGAAATTCCGATATAATCACTCGTGTTATGTTCTGTGCAGGTTGCAACACTCCTACTTACGAAAATATTGATGCAAGAGGAAGGGCTACGAAGTTGTTATTCTCGCCCTGGTTGTCTTCGGTCAGTGATGGAAGTCTTGCGTCAACTTGTAGAAGAAACATTTATTAATGAAACCCCTTTTTCACAGCACCTAAAATATGTTATTCGATGCTTCCTAAGTCTTCCGCGAGTAGGATGGATACCCAGGTAATTTGTTTTTGTCCCTTGTATATGGTGAATTTGTCTCTAATTATTATTTGATTTGATTTGATTTGATCTTCCAACATGATACAGGGTAAAACAGTGGGTTCCTCAACAACTATTTGACAATGCTACTTTTCACGCTATTATTCATGTAAGTCCATTGTCTTGTTTCTTCCTACAAATACAACATCCCTCTAGCTAATGTATGTTCAAAACAAAAATGGATCTTCACATTTGAATTACTCATTAATTTGCAGCTAGATCCAGAGATTCAAAATATGTTGTATCAGTTAGTATCGAATCCTAATACTAATCCACAACAATTGCTCGGATGAGGATTGAGTATAGCAGATAGAGATAACAAAATTGTTGGGAAGGAATTCAATAAACAGAATCCAATCCCTATATACAGATTTAGTATGTAAATGTTTTGAATATTTGAACATATAACTAGCCGTACTGCTTGCTGAATGAACATTCTCATTTTATTATTTTAGTTGTGACACCTTATTTTCTGAAATATGTTTCATGAAACCTCCTTGATAAAAAAGTAAAGAAGACGAAATACTTTTTCTTTCCACTTGTGGACAATTGAGAGATGTTGACTCGTACGGACCGCTCTGATGCGTAGCTGGTGTTGGAAAACACAGATCTCAAACTCACTCAAGAAAAAACAATCACTAGCAGACAAAGTGTTCTTGAACTGAAAGCTTCTATTTTCATCTATTATTCAGCATCAATGATGCCTTTTAAATAGGCTTACAACTCAACTGAAATGCAGAATTTAAAGGGCACTAACTCAGTAGTGCTTTCAACTAAAAAGAGAAAACTTAAGGACTAAATAACAACTATCCTAGACTAAGTCAAAGTGCGTAAAACACTAAACGACACTGCAGTAACTTTTCTCTTCTTTTGTTTGAATCATTTATTCAACAGGTAGTCCCTCCTCAGTTCTCCTATGAAATAAGATATCCATCTCCCCTGAGTGAATACTCACCCTTGAATGAGCATTTCAATCATACAACAAATCGATTTTGCGTATCTCATTCTTTATCAACAGATTTATCAAATCATCAAAACAAAGAATAGTATCGCAATAACTATATATGCATCATAAAAGATGAACAGTCAAAACAATCAAAAATAAAATAAAATTCTCCCCATATTTTGACAAATAAATAGGCTACAACATCCTTCAGATGAACAATCATAATTAAAAAAGGGGAAAGGGTCTGATATATATTATATCTCAACTTTGATAACTAGAGTTAATATAGCCCTCGTCTAAAACTGTCTCATATATATCTCTATTGTTACACAAATAACTCGCATACACCATTTTACTTAAACAAAAAGGTAAAAGATAATTTTAGTTTTGTTTATTAAAAAAAAACATGTAAGGATACGGGCCGAAATCTTCGTGAGAGTAGTATTCAGCAATCAACTAAAGCAATGCGCATGGATCTTGGATTTCACTCGTGGAATTCCCAACTTACAGTAACCATACTTTTACTGGTAGCTATATCATCCATTGTATTCGATGTGTGAAATTATCAGATTTTTTTTATTTGGGTTAAAAAACAGAAAATAGAAAAAATGTTTTTTTTAATATGAAGGAATAAGGCATAAGTATCCCTACACTATGATCGAAATTTCAGAGGCACACTTGAACAAAATAAGGTCATATTATACCTCTGAGCTTTTTTTATTTGTAATTTTGTACCCCTTTTGTCTTAAATGGCACACTCTGTGATTCTACTCAATTGAGACGCGTGGGAGATTTAGAGTTTAAGTTGTGTGTTTGAAATTTCGATCATACTCTAAAAGGGTACTAATACATTTTCCCTAATATAAAACAATTTTCCATTAATTTTTTACCATATGAATTAAAATCTATAATATTTTTTGTCCATTAAAACTCGTTGATAATTTTTTTTGTTTATTTGTGGAATTTATATTTATATGACATAAAACAAATATTTTACTCGTCATATTAGACTTCTTGATGTAAAATTTAGTTGAGTGATTTTATTAATACACAATAAAGTTGAATAAATTTCCAAAGTTGAGTCACTTTTTAACATATTAGCTCTATTTATTTAACATAATAACTAAGAAAGAAAAAGAAAAAAAATCTTTGAAATGAATAGTTGAGTAAATATTTATGAATACCGTAGAAATTAGTATACTTTCTACAAATTTGGCGATTATGCATTAATCGCAAACCTTCCCGCGTGTTTATATATATATATATATATATATATATGCTTTTTGTTTCCTTCATCAATTGTTTTCTGGAAATGAGTAACAATCTTCTTCCTCCTCCGCCCTTACCAATTTTTAAGCATCCTCTGTGGGCGGCGCAGTTGATAAAGCATCTTCATGGGGGTAATAATCGCGATGAGGTTCTTAAACAACTCAACAATCTCATTAAACAGCAGTCAAGTGAAGCAATGCGTATCAATCTTGGATTTCATTTGTGGAACTCCTCACTTACAACCACCACACTTTTACAGGTATTAAAGATTTTGTTTCCATCAATCGAATCGCTGAATTATTATGATTTATAATTTGAAATTTAGGAAGTAGTAGCAGCATACGCCAAGTTTGAAGTTTCAACATTAAACATGGCAGAATCTCTTCAAGTTTGTAAGGCTCTTACTGTATGGCAGGTGAATATTGATCATATCCTCTGTTTTTTCTACTTTTACGTACAGAGTAAAAAAAATTCTAACAGAATGCTCTTTTATGAGTGCAGTGTATAGCTTCTTACCCAGATGGAAGAAGGGGTCTCGTTAACGGTAGAGTCTTGTTACAATTTTATTCGAATTTTCTTTGTGGATTGTGATACTGAACAGGATCTTTTTTATTATGCAGCACGTATACCACATTATCTTTTACCATATCTTGGAATGTCTACAAAAGTGATTTGGTCTCTGCAATTTTTGAGACTTAGAATCTTGGAATTTCTTGTTGCCCTAGCAAAGGTGAGTCTTTCAAGTGAATTCCATATATGTAATAGTACAAATCATGTTCTGAGTTCATTTTCTTGTGCAGTTTGATGAGTTACATGGGCAAGAAATTCTTCATGTATTGCTAGACACAAATTTATTTTCTTTGTGCCTGCACTGCATCCGTCATGGTGATACACAGATACAGAAGGTTAGACCTTCTTACAGTTTCCTCTTTTTCGAAAATATGAACAGATTATATCTTATAAATGAAAAGAGTGTTACGTCTGTGCAGGCTGCGACACTCATACTTATGAAAATCCTGATGCAAGAGGATGGGCTAAAATATTGTTGTGCTTATCCCGATGATTTTCAGTCACTGATACAAGTCTTGCGTCAACTGGTAGAAGAAACATTTACTTTTGAAATCCCTTGTCCACAGCACCTCAAATATGTTATTCAATGCTACCTATGTATTTCGCGAGTAGCACGGGAAGACGGGTAATTTGTTTTTGTCCCTGCTGCGTTTATGGTTATTCGTAATGTCGAATTCTGTCTCTAATTCATTATTGTTTGATTTGAACTCCCCTCATAATACAGGGTATACGAAACAGTGGGAAACATGTTACAGCTAATTGGTAACACTTTTCACAATATTATTCATGTAAGTCCATCGTTTTCTTTCTTCTGACAGATACAACATCCTTCTAGCTAATGTTCAGAACCAAAATATCCTTTATGATATTATTAATTTGCAGAAAGATCCAGAGATTCCAAAAATGCTGAATCAGTTAGTGCGGAATCTTAATCATTGACCACCTCAATGAAGATTGACTATAGCAGTTAGTGTTGGGAAGGAATTCAACAAACAGAATCAAATCCCTATATACAGAGTTAGTATGTAAAGGTTTTGAGTATTTGGACGTATAACGACTAGACTTACTTGCTGAATGAACAGTCTCATTTAACTATTTTTGCTTTAAGAAGTTACTTTCTGCTATAACCAAGCAATCACAGCAAATGACTTTCTAACATCATTTCCGAGCATGTATGTTCTCACCTGTGTTGCCGTTTGATGGGGGACTCGTATTCAGGAGTTTCCACGTCAATATGTGAGTATTTGAACCTATAACGCATTTTGTAATGGAGTAAAGGTTTGCTGTCTGTCTGGTTCAATTACTATTTACCGTTTCATTAACCAATCTAAAGTGTCATTTACCAATTGAAAGTGAAAGAAGGGAGTGTATTGAAAACCTGTATGAGTTTTCACTACAGTAATGAGAACATGGCTCCTCACCAGGTTCTTTCACTATGAACCGAAGAACAAACCTAAAGACCTGAAAATAAAGAAGACGGTATATTTTACATGTAAACCTCCACGATCAAGAAAGTAAAATCACAATCACCTATATTTTTATTGCAATCACAATATATTTCCACATGCTCTTTACCAATTGAAGAGTTGTACGGGTCCACCGCTATTACAGGGACCAGGTCCTACGTAAGCCTACAATGTAACTATTAGCAGAAAAATGTATTGAAGACCTGTATGAGTTTTCATGAGAACATGACTCCTTCATCAAGAAAGTAAAAATCACCATCTATTTCAGTAGCATTTTTAAAATCTCCACTAAAACATCAAACAATTTTCAGATTACAATCTATTGCAATCTAGGAATTATAAATAGAATAAATATTAACTCAATCAAAATACAATCTAGTTCACTTTAGCATGTATAATGATTAGATAAATTGGTCATGTAATAATTAATAAATTGGTCATGGTTAAAATAGATTTTTTTATATATATATATAATTACTTATCTCAAGGTATAAGCAAACTCATAGATGTTGAAATGTGCATTGCATGTGATTAGTTGAGTTAGTTTGTTGATTGATTTATTAGTTTAAAAAGTAGTTAGGTAGTTTATTAATGATGTAGAGTGTATAAATAGCACCTTGTGACTAATGAAAAGTTAAGTCGGTCATTTCAATTTTAATGTTCTATCATTCTCTTCTTCCTCTCAAATGCATTTGCTCTAACACACACTAACACTTCGGTAGGATAACCACTACTATCATCAAACTAACGAAAAATGCACAAGTACCCTTTTAGACTATGATCGGAATTCTAGAGACACACCTTAACTAAACTAAGGTCCTATTACCCCCCCCCTCCCCCCAAACTCCCTAACTTATTTTTTTGGTAATTTTGTGCACCCTTTTAGCTTACATGGAATTTAAATATCTCTCACGTGTCTCAATTGCATGGAGCCACGGAGTGTGCCACATAAGACAAAAGGAGCAAAATATTTTAAAAAAAATAAGTTTAGGAGGGTAATAGGACCTTAGTATAGTTAAGGTGTGTCTCTGAAATTTCGGAGGGGTACTTGTGCATTTTCCCTTAAACTAAAGAAAATAATCTAAAACTAAGGTATTTCAGCTACGGAAGTATATTAAGTAAAGTAAGACAATGCGAAAAATACGCCTACAACCTGAGTAATTTTAAAAATTACGATAAGTCTAAGAACAAGGGGTACAATCCCCAAAACTAAACAGTACCTTAACAATAGTCTGAGTCAAAAAATAGTAGACTTAAACAAAAGAGAACTCAAGGCAGCCCGGAAGAACTAGTCACCCTTGAATTCGAAAGATCACTGATCTCCTAAGCGAGATTTATCAACAGTCGAGTGAAGATGCCCTGTACTCAACAAAAAAAAGAGCAAGGGTAGAATCAGTACACAACCACCGTGAACTGGTAGGATCACGTTGCTATCCCACTAGTGTAACATAAACAAGTCAATACATCATTATAACACATGCATAAATATCAACATGTTCAATACTATCATAAGAATCAACATCACAATTCACATGGTTCATCATATAGTTGGTCTCCTTATGAAATCCAAAGTCAAATTGTTAGCATGTCGGAACGTGGCATTTCGATCCATCTTTTATGTCAGAATGTGGCAACCGATCCCAGTTAGCATGTCGAAACCTGGCAATCTGATCCATTTTTTATGCCGGAACATGGCAAGTGATCCCAACAACACATAAAGATCACTCATTTAAGTCATGATTTAAATTTCAACATCTACGATCAATTTTACAACATGCATACATATACAAGTATCACAATGAACAGAGAACAAGTATATATCACACAATCATAGAATCACGACCATCACCTACCTCGAATCCAAGCTTGAGTCCTATAAGACACTTGAATCTTTCCTTTTCGGATTCTTTCCGCTTGTTCTAGGTCTACAACAAATTGATATACGCAAGGATCAAACATCAAAGTTCTAATTATTCGGATTATAACAAACCCAATAACCCTAGACGAAATGCAAGATCATAATACTCAAATTAGGGTTTTTTCCACCATAATTCTTAGATCAAAACTATTTTCCATCGATAATAACCCAAGGAAATATGTTCTCCGTATCAAAAAATGGATTCGGAGAGTTAAAACCTTACCTTTAGCCTAAAAATGGTCAAAATTGTGAAGAACTCGTTTGGGTCACCTATTTAGTCCTAAAAGTCAAAAAATATCAAATAGGGTTGTGTTAGGGTTTATAAGAGACTTTAAAACGCGTATGTCCCGCACTAGCGGACCCATCTCGCTGCAGTGGCGCCGCTCTAGCGGCCCCGACGGAGGCAGAATGTACCCCTTCACAAAAATATCATTTTCAGGAGTTCTGCTCGTCCAAATTTGATTCCTTAAAGTGGTGCGGGTTTGTGATAGTCTTATCTATCCACTCGTATAATAAAATTCACAATTAGATCTCTTATTTATTACTAGATTTTTCCTACATCTTAGTGACTCTGATTTCTTCCAAGTCTGGACTAGATTGGGTAATTTCAATTTACTATGAAAGAGTTTCTGGGCCCAATTCTTTCTTTATTGACTTTTCCATAATGACGGAATCGGGTCGTTACTATAGATATCAATTTACCCATCACTCGTCCACGAGTGATCAACCAGGAAAGACTTGGCTAAAATAAAGGTAGAGTAATATCTGAAATGTCGAATTACTAGGGTACTTATCTCACATGCCTTTTTATCAAATAGCATTACCTCCTAAGGGTTTCACATCTCCAATCTCAAACCAACCAATTTAATACCTACACATCCTTCCTTAACATTCATCAATAAAGTCATCTGAACACTCGAGTGATACAGATTGTTGTATGTAAACTTAATAAGTTAGTCCACGGTGAACCACCTGTGGCCATTTGAATAATTGTGCATCCTAATCCCATATATCAGCAAAAAACCATGTTCTTCCCTAACGAACTACTTCTGGTGACATGAACATAGTGTGCAACCAATTGTCACACCATCAACACGTTTAGAACATCTGAAATCCCCAATTTTGACATCAGTGTTACATAACAAAATGTTGTGACCTTTGATGTCGCAATGTACTATCCCTTTCGAATGTTGGTAGTCTATTCCTTGAACAATTTGTTTCATGTAGTGTCAGATCAATTCCTCATTCAATCGGCCTCCCTGTATCGATGAGTTTTACATCGGGCATGTACTCCATCATAAGATTGAACATTACCTTGTTGTTCCCTCTAGTTACATTGTACCCCTTGTAGTCAACTACTTAAGCAGAGCTCAATTTTGATAGAACTTTTTGCTCTTTTTGCAAGAAATCAGATCGAGAAATCTCTGTGGACTTGACAAAAAATATCTCACCGGTGAAGCGTGACAGGGCGACTGACACACGGCTGCTGTAGAGCCATGGCCTGTAATGTGGCCTCTGGTCCAGTCCATTTTTTTTAGAAGAATTTGGTAGGAGCCAGTTAGGAAGTATAAAGAGTTAAGAACATATTCTGTCACAAAGAGGTTATATTATATATATATTTGATATTACACTACAGAGTATAAAATAGTGAATGTCTAAATTAGTTTGGTAAGGCTTAGGTTGGCATTTTTTCCTATTAAAGACTTGAAAAGTTTGGTTCTTTTAATTATGATAGTGGTTTTTAGGCACCAACATGTAGGCTAAAGGACAGATATGATGTGGCCTACTGGGAATATGGCACGTGGCAAGCTGTGAAGTGGGTACTTGAATCTTAGTTATCTTTTAAAAACAAGTTGTCACGATCCAAAAATGAGTGTGATGACACTCATCTTATCCCACCAAAAAAATTAGTCTAGAACCCAACATCTAACAAAGTGCTGAAATAAACGGAAGTCCAGTAGTATTTTCTATAACGAAAACAAGTCAACTTAATTCAATCCCTAAAACAAGGTTGTCACGTATACAAGCCTCTAATGTAAATATTAGAATTGAAATAAAAATACGAGTCTAAAATGAAGTTTTCTTTCAAGTAAAAACAAAGTCACAAACTGAAGTAGGAAAGTTCGCTGAGATGAGAAGTAGCTACCTCACGATTTCACAAGATGCCTCGAAAACGAAGAGAATGGAAGGTATCACGAAGATCCGGGCTCGTAACCTATAAAAATTTGTTGAAGCAAGGGGTGAGTACCAAAGCACACGGTACCCAACAAGCAAACCTCTAAACACAAGTGAAGTGAGGAAAATACGGGTACTTCTTACACCCTCTCTGAACCCCCACACTACAGCCTAACAGTTCACAATTTACCAAACTCACAACTCAATAACCACACTCTATCAGTTTTCATATTCTCAATAGCAACTAATATTCAACAATCACAATTTTCATAGAGAAACATTCGCAAGATCAGCAAAACACGTGTTCAAGTTCATCAATAATAAAAATGTGTAATTCCATGAGATGCAATGTCAAGTATAGTGATGCATGTCTTTCCTAACGATACACAACCGTGGTCTCTCAGTTTGGGACCCATGCATGCATCTATCACGGTGCACGACACGACCCTCGATAATAGTAATTGTAGCGGTGCGCGATATGTCCCTCAAAATATAATATTCATCGCGGCGCGCGATACGATCCTCGAAATGGTACATTAGCACTTAACTCTTATCACAACCATGTCTCAGATACAATGCAAGTGACATGCTCAAATGAAAAATGAGGAGATAACTATTTTGATAACAAAGCACAATTTGCAACATGGAATACAACACCAACAAATAAGCAACAAGTATCCAAATCATTCTCAACACCACACAACGAAATACACGAATTTCATATGCTTTACAAGAGTTTAGAAATCCACTTGTCTTAGACAACCGAATAATTACTCCGGGACATGGTCTTCCCTTTCCTTTGAGCTTCCGAATCGATGGGATTCATTCAAGCATAGATATTCACAATAAGGTTTTGGAACTAACAACACTCATGTTATTATGTGTTTAATCTTGACCTAAAAATTCACCAAAATGTATAATCAAGTTCTTAATTCTTGATGCAACTATCATTTCAACTATTATATTTTTCAAGTTTCAAGTCTAGGATTTCGTCCCAATTTTTTTTCCAATATCATAATTTAAATGGTACTCACAAAATGTCATTCACCCAATATTTAAATCATATACGTACCAATATATTAAAACTTGTAATCATAATATAATAACTAAGACTCTAAAAATTACACTCGAATAAATTCATATTCACGTTGCAGAATTGTGTTCTATTTTCTTTCTTTTCAACTCCTTTCCTCTAACCAATGATTGAGTCATAATGATCCAATCATTGGTTATCATTACTTCTTCCAAAAGTATTTCAAGACTTGCTAAAATTCCCAGAATTCCCACCGTCACATTAACATGCTTACAACAATATGCCTCAATTTTCATTACAATATTTATTACACCTAATTAATTTTTTCCTTTTATATAAATATAATTGCCTTTTAATGTCAATCAACAATTTGGCTTCACATGCCCTCAATTTCCCACCATGAATGACCGACAGAAGAACACATAAATTGCACCGCCAAACTCAATTTCATAAATTCATATACTATTGACTGTAGCCATAAACAATTAAGAAAAACAATTATAACAAAGTACGAACGATTATTACCTGCAGATCACTATTCCTTTTCCTCTCGTGTGCGTCGCTCAGGTAAGGTTTCTGCCTCTCCTTCTTTTCTAAATTGATCGTTTATTAAACTGACTAAAATCACTAACTTATTTTTTTATACATGATCCTAACAGTATAGGATCTTAAATAAATGATCACTTTAGCGCACTAACTATCTATTAGTTCCTTTATCTACAATTAACCATAAATAAATTAACTCAAGTTATACGAATAATTCAAATTTTCCAAAAATAACCTCGCAGTTTATTACATTATCCACCACTAAAAATCATGTTCTTCCTCGAACATAAAGTAAAAGAAGGTACCTGAAGCTTCAAAAAGCTGAGGGTATTTGGCACGCATGTTAGACTCTGTCTCCTAAGTTGCCTCTCCTACTGAACGGTGCTTCCGCTGCACCTTCACTGAAGCAATCTCCTTGGTCCTAAGCTTTTGTGGTTGCCTATCTAACATAGCTATAGTATCCTCCTCATATGTCAAGTCAGGACCCAACTCCATTGAATCAAGTGAAATCACATGAGATTCATTTGGAATATACTTCTGAAGCATAGAGACATGGAAAACAGAATGAACTACAGACTAACTAGGTGGCAATGCCAACTAATAAGCTACCTCTCCCACTCGCTCAAAATCTCAAAAGGTCTAATGAATCTAGGGCTAAGATTGCCCTTCTTTCCAAACCTCATCACACCCTTCATGGGTGATACTCGGAGCCAGACATGATTACCCTCCATAAACGCTAAGACTCTAACTCTCCGGTCTACATAACTCTTCTGTCGGCTCTGAGCTGTCAATAGTAATAGTCTATACTAAATCATATGGACTTGCTCCATAGCATCTCTAAGCAAGTCTATCTTCGAAGAGTCCATCTCTACCGAATCAAGCCCCAACCAATCAGAGATCTACACCTTCTGCCATACAACGCCTCAAAATGGGGCCATCTAGATACTAGAGTGATAACTGCTATTGTAGGCAAACTCTGTAAAGGGGGGTAAATGCCGATCCCATCTGGTACCGAAATCGATCACACACGTTCGAAGCATATCTTCCAACACTTGAATCATCCGCTCAGACTGACCATCTGTCTGAGGGTGAAAGGCTATACTCATATCTAACTAAATGTCCCTTTTTAGAATGATTTCTATATTGTATGTGTATATGATTTCACACTTAGTACATGTGTTGTACTAACCCCATTTCTCCCTTTCCCCCCAACATTTCAATTTCGAATTGTTGAAGGTTCGTGGCCACTTTAGAAGAAGGCTTTGATCATTTCTCCAAGTGTGGGTATGTCCTTAAGTCCGAGGATGATGCCTTGTTATTACTCTAGCTATGGTTCTTTCTTGTAGTCTAAAGACCATCATTTCATTCACGTTGTTTCAAGATGTTGTTGTATGCGCTATGTGACATTTCTACATTGTGTAAGGGATTATTCCCATGTTAATTTGACTTTGTTTAGATGTTTAATATGAGACATACCTTTTTAAAACTTTATTATGTATGTTGTCTATATGTGACATAAAAGTAGAAGACTATGTAATCTTCTTATACGTAGGGTCTATTTATACTCGATATGAATATATTATGTGTAAGCGAGAGGTCTAAGTAAACCTCATGAAGTAGTGTCCGAAGATGATGCATTGTTATTACTCTAGTCTTAGTTCTCTTCGAGGACGACAATATCAGTTACATCTAAGGGGTACTTTCCGGATGTGAAATTTCACTTTAGGGTGGATACAATGGCTAATACCTATGCAGGCACATTATGTGATAGGGAGATTGTTTCCAAAAACTCCGCCTAACTAGAGGGAGAGTTTCCATCTCATGAGAGCATCTGTAGAAGACCCAACCTAAACTAGAGGGAGAGTCTCTATACTATTTACCATATTCGCTCGGTGTTAAGCATTATTCCTAAACTTATGCATAGCTAGTGTGAATTGCATTTACGTATGTGAAGGAGAACTTTATCCTTCATTCAACACTACAAATAACATAGCTCATTGATTCAATAAGGAAAACTATCTTTTACTTTTAGAATTCTAATATACATGTGAGGAATCTTATTACATACATTCATAGTGTTTTCATGAGAATTACTTTTCAACCAACACAATAGGATGATCATAGAAATGTCATTTCATATTTCATAATGTGTTAAAGTGAATATGAGAACTATACTTTCAATTTACACCATAGATACAACATAATCATATTTATGCATAGGGTGTGTGTAATTGTCCATACTATGATAAAAGAACAACATTACCCTCATAGACACTTCCCTTTCAAAGTGTTCATAAGCATGTACATATTATCATAATCATGCATAATTTTCATGTATTGCATTCAAGGATTTATAGACCATGCAACTCAACACATCCACATTCATTATTGACCTAATCGTAATTCAATTAGTTCATTCATTCATTGCATGTGTGTACTCATATAATCATTCTTGCCACAAAACAACACTATATACAGTTCAACATGCACTACACCACAAGTACCTCCACCATAAGTGGATCAAAGAATTCATATATATAATAATCTTAAACATAGTAAGGCCATACTTCAAGATTCAACAATTACAATTTACCCTTCAAGGGTGATATGTCATATCGTGCAATCACACTTAGTATACTACTTTTATCATGAACTAAACAATACTAATTGAATATATTAACATAGATACAATTCTAAGCATTCATATTGTACCAAAAACCCCATCACAATTTAATAAAAATTGGGTCATATGGAAGCACATAGGTTCATAGGGAATCTATCATAAAAATCACCATTATACATCAAATCATACATAATATAAATAAATTAACTCATAGAAATTCATTTTAGGAAGAACCCATGGCTAGATTTAAAACCCTTGCTTTTGAGGAACACCCAATTTCAAAAATTAGAGTAGGAGGGCTTCATGGAGAAAGAAATTTCATGAATGAAGGTTCCCATACCTTAATACAAAAATACAACAATAATTCTCTATAATAATGCATAATTAATGACATGAATCCATAAACTAACTTCATATAGACATCTACAATCCATTACACATCCATAATCAACCAATTTCAAATCAATTTAGGAGTTTAAGGAAATCATGGGTTCTTGAATAAATTCAATGTAAAATAAACTCATAATCATCAATCAAACCTTAATTCATCAATTTGATTGCTTTGAAAATGTTTTATCAATGAACTCATGCTTAGATTAGAAAATAGGGTTTTGATATTAAAAAGACTTTGAAAATCTTTTTGATTGGAATCCTTGACAGAAAGATTGATCAAGGATGAAAGATCACCATACCTATATTAATAAACCTTGAAGAAAATTGATGAAAAAGCTCTTTTGAAATCCTCAAACCCAAGCTTCCATGCCTTCTTCTTCTTCCTTGAGTTTAGAAAGAGAAATATTGGAGGAAGATGAACTTTTTGATTTGAAGTGGGTGTTTGTGAAAGTGATTTATTTTGGGAATGTTTTAATATAAAATATCTTATATAGTTGTTTAGAATTAATATAAAATGTATCCACTTTCTAATTTGAGTTTAAAATAATTTTTACGATAACGCCATTCCATATCTGGACTTAGCTAAAATATCATGTTTAAGGAAGCATTTAAAGTCCTCGAAGTGGTTCACTAGACTTGAACCGTCCCTTAAAATTATGATTTGCCAAAATTTTGGACCTTTTTGTATCTCCAGTTTATACATAAACTTATAAGGTTCATACGTTAGGCTCTAGTTCAACCTATTATTTTGCGAGTCCTTACATTCTCCCCCTTAAAAATATTTGTCCTTGAATGACACTTTGAACACATTAAGGAAACGACTCAAGAATAGCAGCCTATCATGCATGCAACATTACAAACAATGCACAAAACTAGGAGAAAACATCAACTCCACATCAATAAGCTCAATACAACACAAAAATGCAGGAACTACATCTACAAACTCATTATGCATCAAAACATCAACATTTATCATTTCATATTTCATTGGAGGAACTATCTTCTCCAACTCACATCATGCTCATCTTCTCATCATAAAGCAAATTATACAACTCTAACAAAATACCATATAAGCATGCCCAACATTTCAACTCATGAAGCACATAGATAACTTATACTAGATACATATCAACATGAGGAACATGTAACTCATGCAAAACTCACTTTAAGCAAAATAGTAGTCTTTCATAAACATGCACATTTTAGAGAGATCATGGAAATATCTAATTTACTCATAAATCCTAGACATGGAACTTGTCCAAAAGGAAATTGTTGATGTCAAGCTTGAATAGAAATAGAAAAAAGGGATAAGGATATCAGAATTTTCTTAAATGAAAAGTTGTTAAATTAAACTTATGTCAAATAAACCAAAATACCCTTAAATATTGTGGTCTTAAACATGTCACGTGAAAAGTTGAAGTTAAAGTATTGCAAAAAAAGAAAAGTGGTCATTCTTTTCTAAACAAGCTAAAAAGGAATTTGGGTCATTCTTTTTTAAACGGAGAAAGTAATAAGGAAACATGCAAGCACTGTAACCTTTCCAGATGGAACCTTAACACGAAGAGCATTAATAACTAGCCTGCTAAAAAAAAGAAACAAAGAAGGTACCTGCAAAAATTTTGTGTTACTTTCCACAAAAACTAAGGTTGCAAAGATTATTCATGTGCTCTAAAATTACAGAGCATATGAGATGGCATGCAAAGGATATAAATAGAGATGGAATCATGAGGCATCCTAGAGATGGTGAGGCATGAAAGAAGTTTGATACTACTTTTCTAAATTTTCTATTGATCCCCGAAATGTTCGTTTAGACCTAGCGAATGATGGTTTCAAACCTTTTGGAAAGATGAGTACTACTTATTCTATTTGGCCAGCTGATGTAACGAACGGTTGGTCCAATACAGTATCATTAGATGTTTTTTTTTGAAAGGTAAAATATTTCTCATTCAAAATTCATTTTTTCAACATAATACTTATTCTTATATCTTCTTAGTTTAGTTATGGATTGTTATGTCATTTCAAGTCCCTTTATGGAATTAATCACAATCAAAAGGTTCCATAGCCGAGATTGATACAGTTAAAAAGTTTTATGTCATGCCCAAGCCTACACGCTGGACGTGCTCGACACTCGAGAACCATCGTTGGTCCCAAGAGAACCCTTGGTCTGGCTGACTAATTCACGGAAAACTTACTCAATCAAAATAGGAACTTCAAATGCATAATTAAACTTTAAATTTTAAACCAAAACTTAACTCGAATGAACGTTTGAAAATACGTATTAAGTTATACAATCAATTGTCTCAAGATCTCAAAACAACTCAACATGAAGGGGAATAATAAAGACTCCTTGACATCTAACTATCCATGAATTTCTCTAATAGTAAGATTGATGTTGGGAAATAATCAACGAAAACATAACAAAAGCTGAAAATAAGTGTGAAACCCTCTGTAAAGTAAGAGGCTCACCAAATCTAGCTAGAGTGCAAATGGTATCAACAAAGTGCCTGCCGATGACCCTTAATCTGCATCATATAAGATTTAAGTTTAATGACATCTGGTATTGGGGGGATTTTAACCCCGCAATAAAATTGTTGCCAAAATATTACAACGACCAGGAAAATCTCCGCAAACTGGGAAAGGTGAATGTTTTTGGGACAGGCAACTAATCATAGGGGTTGTTGACCAACATAACATATAAATTTAACCCCCATAGATAACACATTCTTTTGCAGTGAGGGTTTAGGAAACAATCGTGGTTTTTCTAATCCACAAGGATAGATCCCCCTTCATAATGAACTAACACAGATACTAAACAAAGAAAAACAACTTTAAGATTTTAGGATTCTATTAAAGCATGTAACTAGTGACTTTGTTGACTAAAATGAATGTCTTCCTAACAAAACATTTCTAATAACCTCTAGAAATGGGATAAAAGTTTTTTAAGAAATTGGATGAAATTCTTTGAATGAGGAATGCAACAAAATGAAGACCATAAAATAGGAACGAAAATTTTGTGAGAATATCTATGTTGCTCGAACTCTTCAAATAATGATGGGAACCTTTTACTTTAGTTAGTACGGGTTTCTACTAGCAATATACTTATACCATAACAATATTCCCAAATAGGTCCTTTACTTGTGGATCCACCTAAAAGAATGGCATAGTTTGACTTAGAATTAGAAGTTGAGGGAAAAAATTGCTATTATTTTTAAGCATACTAATTTATTTTTATGTTTCATTTTTAATTTAGTTAAATAAATAAACACATAGAGACACTAGTTTTTGTCGTACTATGCTTTATTATGTTGATTTGACAAACTTATTCGAGGAACCAGATGATATGCACAGATCTATTAACTTTATAAGATTTTTTTATACGACATCTTTATTGATGCTTTTATATTGAATTGATTTGAGTATTTCTGAATTGAGTTGAGTTGAGATGATGTGAGTATGTCTTCCTTTTTAACAGGAAAAACTTATGTCTATGCTTTAGAGTTTCATGTGCATGCTCGTACATTCAAGGTACTGATGTCATTTGACCTACATCTTTCATGAGACAAATATGATAATCAAGATAGTCAACATGGGTTCCGTTGATACCACTTGCAGTTCCATATTTCCTTTGGTGAGTCTCCTTGCTTCAAAGGGTTCCACACATTGACTCATTTTTGTTAGGATGTCATGGGTCTTGTTCCGGCTTCCATCATAGTTTGTAGAGGCTTCATAGACAATAGTGTTTTGAGGAGTCTTTTCATTTTTATTGTTTATATTTAAGATTTGAGTTGAACACTTTTGTATTGAGTATGTTAGAATATTTTGAGTTAAACTATCTTATAAATGATACTGTTAAGAGTTCAGTTTGTTTTGAGATTTCTATTTCAACAGGTAAGTCTTCTGCTGAGTATTGAGTCAGTCCAATGGTTCACTTGGGATCACTAATGGTTGGTTTACGAGTGTCGTTCATGTCCAGGGTGTAGGCTCGGTGCATAACACGCACACCCCGCCCCCTCCCTCCCTCCAGAAAAAATGCTTTTGAAAAGTATTTAAATTTTACTTTTTTTTACTTTTTACGCCACTTTCCCCGATACTCCCCCAGACAAGGCTGGACCCACCACTCCGAAAGTATTTTAAAAAATTTATTTTTTTACATCACATCACCTCTAACCCCCCCCCCACGCGCATGCCATCCCCTACAAAAAAACTCAAAAAATTTGTTTTTGAAAAATATGTTAAATTTTTTGTGATTCTTATTTCCCTCCAAAACTTAGGGTTTTCAATCTATGTCACGGGCCTTCTTCCAAAACAATTTCAATTGTTTATTTATGATTTATTATAGTTGATTATGATTTATCATATTGGATTGATGGAGTATTGTTGATTTAAGATGGAAATTCCCAAGTGATCCATGTATGATTTCCCCATATTGCTAATTATATATTGATATGTTGGTTGCTTGAGATTATAAGTATGTCAATTGATCATATTTACATTAACTAAGTTACTGAATCATGATATCCCCTATACAATGTAGTAATTCAAGAAGTTACAACTGAATTTGACTCATGGCCTTGAAGGAAAAATTATGCGGGTTCGAATATGTTGATGAAGATTATGTATAAGCTTGTGATTCACTTATATAGTGGATATTCCATGACTATTGTGTAAATTATGATATTGTTGCAATATTATTCTACCCTATACATACACATGATGATGCGTGAATTGTCTATAATTATGATATGTGGTTGTGTATAATCGAAAGACTGTTCTAAAAAAATACTATGAAATGATGTGAAAGGTTTACTCACATAGTAATGATTCGAAGGTTGATGCAACATTTAACAACTAAAAAAACCTAAGAATAAGCTAAGAAACTAAAAATAATCATTTTTGCAAAGAAAAAGGAAAAATATGGAAAATTTGTCTAAGTTAAGAAAGTGAGTTTTTGTTATTTTTAAAAGGCCATAACTTCTAGCTCAGGATGTGTTAGAGGTAGTTCTTGATATGGTTGAAAATCCTATGGAAAGGTATTTCCAACTCCGTCGAGTTTTCTCGATTTTGATATAGTGTGCATGAGTTGAGATTTAGGATTTCTTGATGATATAGGTGCTGTTCATGAATTTATTGGGTTATATCCTTGTATAGATTAATGGAGTACATAGATCTAAGGTGAATTTTAGAAAAGAAATCAAATAAAAACGATTTAAGGTCAAGAAAATTGAGATGGAAATTTGTTAGCCGTCACCTGGGCAGATCCAGGCACAAGGCGCCCCCATCTGCGCAAGAGGTCCTGGGGCGGGCGCCTTCAGTACGCTAGAATGAGGCCTCTATACTTGAGACATGGTGCGGCGCACCCAAAATGCACCCGAATCGGCATTTTTCACCCAATTTTTGTACTTCAGTCTAATAAAGCTTTTCTAAAGTGTTTCAA